GTCTGTCTTTTTTTTTCTTCTCATAAATAGGCTGATGCTGTATTTGTGTACTCAATTGTTGCTTTTTTTTTATTAAATTATTTGGATTAGGTCTTATTTTCTTTTATTAATTTGTTATAGTTTTTCATTTGAATTTAGCTCCATTTTTGTGTCTGTCTTTTTTTTTCATCTCATAAATAGGCTGATGCTGTATTTGTGTACTCAATTGTTGCTTTTTGTGTCTGGTTTCTTTTTTGCAGTATTTTTTTGGAATCCTTTTTTTTTTCATCAATTGTTTCCTCACATGCTTGGAATTTTCTTTTTATGCCTGTCCTTGCTTTCAGTTTTATAGATTTCCTCTGCTTGGTTCTTATTTTACCTTTTTTTTTTTGAGCGTCTTCTGTCATGCCTCGGAAAGGCCAATAGTGTGTGAATTTTTTTTTTATTAAATTATTTGGATTAGGTCTTATTTTCTTTTATTAATTTGTTATAGTTTTTCATTTGAATTTAGCTCCATTTTTGTGTCTGTCTTTTTTCTTCTTCTCATAAATAGGCTGATGCTGTATTTGTGTACTCAATTGTTGCTTTTTTTTTTATTAAATTATTTGGATTAGGTCTTATTTTCTTTTATTAATTTGTTATAGTTTTTCATTTGAATTTAGCTCCATTTTTGTGTCTGTCTTTTTTTTTCATCTCATAAATAGGCTGATGCTGTATTTGTGTACTCAATTGTTGCTTTTTGTGTCTGGTTTCTTTTTTGCAGTATTTTTTTGGAATCCTTTTTTTTTCATCAATTGTTTCCTCACATGCTTGGAATTTTCTTTTTATGCCTGTCCTGGCTTTCAGTTTTATAGATTTCCTCTGCTTGGTTCTTATTTTACCTTTTTTTTTTGAGCATCTTCTGTCATGCCTCGGAAAGGCCGTGGAAGACTCACTCCCCTGACCGCTAGGCTATTTCTCTTGTTTACTTTTTTACCAATGCCTATAATTTTTCACCTGAAAGATTTTTTTTTATTTGTTATTCAATAAACTATTATCACTTATTTTTGGTCTTCTTTTTATTTACTTATTTTACTGGGGGTTGGTGGAAGGATGGTCTAAGCCGTTGGTTTTCGACCGCTACGACCCGGGTTCGATTCCCGCATTGGGCACTTTTTTCTGAAAAAATAAAAAAAAAGCTCCAATGGCTTCTGATTCTTGCAAAAGTCCAACCCCACCAGCAAGCGCAAGTAATCAAACGGGGCTCTGGCACACTTGTACATGCAAAGTCGAACTGCTTTTCACATGTTTAGACATGTGGTGTACTTACAGTAAAAACAGTCGCCTACTCTACCCACCATGATTATCAAGGCCTGTACCACGTGTACTAGGGATAAGCAAAAAAAAAAAATATTTTACTCATTGATCTATACATACAATTATTTGCATACAATTATATACATACAGTTTTCTACATTTTTGCGCTCTGCAGTCTAATATGTTGTTAACTAGCCGAGTGACCCGGGCAACGTCCCGGGTTTACCCGAAGGACCCGCAGGTGAGAAACTATAGAAGAAAAATTTTAACAAATCAGAAAATGAAATTGCAAACAATGTCCTTTAAGGACATGAGAGCACATGCACTGTATCACCATACGTGTACCATTTTCAAAGACCCTGCTTAGGATTAAAACTTCTCAGAAGCATAACAATAGTACCAACCTAGAGGTTAACTGGTGTGGATGCATTCCTCTGGGAGTAAGACTATTGAGAAATTCAGTAGGGAGTTATTTTGCTTCTCCGCATTCTAACACTCCAACTGTTAACACTGTGGAAACACTGACTCATGTTTGGTAAGCAATTTCAGGGAAGAAACTATAGACATTGGATTAAATAAATTATTAATTAAATTGCATTAAATAAAAATTATTAGATTTAAATAAATATTATTCGAGTGAAAAAAAAAAGAAAAAATTAACAAGTTAGAAAATAAAATTTCGAAAAATACAACTATATTGCAGATAAGATAAGAGGACCTTATTAAAAAATAAATAAACAAACTGTAATTCGACACTATCGATAATTCGACACTTTCGATAATTCGACACTTTCGATAATTCGACCATTTTAAAAATCAAATTTACAAGGTTGATTGTTGTTTAAATACAACTTTGATTTTGCATGCATAAACACAGGCTCTTGTAGCAAGAACCCAAATATTATTTATAGTCATAGCAAAAGCCAACTTTAGTGAAAACTGATGCCTCTTCAGAATGAATGGAAGACTGAAATCTGAAGGAGCAGAAGATATGGGTCATCTTTACATGTATGCTATCCAATGTTCGCACACTTGAAAAAGCTACATATAAAGTTGTCCGTGCGTAAACACAGGCTCTTGTAGCCAAGGTTTGGCCTTGAGCCTTATTTATAGTCATAGCAAAAGCCAACCTTAGTGAAAACTAACGCCTCTCTAGAATGAAGCGAAGGTTGGTATCCGAAGGGGCCAAAGATATTTCAGACACTATACAGTGTGTTCAACTTTGGGCACTGTCAGTATATGTGCTTCAAGGACATGAGAGCACATGCGCTGAAACACCATACGTGTTCCATCGCAAAGATCCTAAAGGCATTGGTGAAAGTATAAATAAATATTTTGGAAGTGAAAAAAAAATACATATATATATAAGAAAATAAATTGGAATAAAAATTTACAAACTATATTTCAGAGTGGATACATATTTGAAAGGAAAAAAAAAAAAAGAAAATTGCAAACAACAAAACTATATTACAGATATGACATGAAAACTAACGCCTCTCTAGAATGAAGCGAAGGTTGGTATCCGAAGGGGCCAAAGATATTTCAGACACTATACAGTGTGTTCAACTTTGGGCACTGTCAGTATATGTGCTTCAAGGACATGAGAGCACATGCGCTGAAACACCATACGCGTTCCATCGCAAAGATCCTAAAGGCATTGGTGAAAGTATAAATGACCCATATATTCTGCTCCTTCAGATTTCAGTCTTCCATTCATTCTGAAGAGGCATCAGTTTTCACTAAAGTTTGCTTTTGCTATGACTATAAATAATATTTGGGTTCTTGCTACAAGAGCCTGTGTTTATGCATGCAAAAGCAAAGTTGTATTTAAACAACAATCAACCTTGTAAATTTGATTTTTAAAATGGTCGAATTATCGAAAGTGTCGAATTATCGAGTGTCGAATTACAGTTTGTTTATGTATTTTTAATAAGGTCCTCTTATCTTATCTGCAATATAGTTGTATTTTTCGAAATTTTATTTTCTAATTTGTTAATTTCTTTCTTTTTTTTTCACTCTAATAATATTTATTTAAATCTAATAATTTTTATTTAATGCAATTTAATTAATAATTTATTTAATCCAATGTCTATAGTTTCTTCCCTGAAATTGCTTACCAAACATGAGTCAGTGTTTCCACAGTGTTAACAGTTGGAGTGTTAGAATGCGGAGAAGCAAAATAACTCCCTACTGAATTTCTCAATAGTCTCACTCCCAGAGGAATGCATCCACACCAGTTAACCTCTAGGTTGGTACTATTGTTATGCTTCTGAGAAGTTTTAATCCTAAGCAGGGTCTTTGAAAATGGTACACGTATGGTGATACAGTGCATGTGCTCTCATGTCCTTAAAGTAGTGTAGTTCTGTTGTTTGCAATTTCATTTTCTGATTTGTTAAAATTTTTCTTCTATAGTTTCTCACCTGCGGGTCCTTCGGGTAAACCCGGGGCGTTGCCCGGGTCACTCGGCTAGTTTTAAATAGAATAATATTTTAATATAACATATATATATAGTGGTCTCCTGTTTTTATTTTGAATTATCTATTTTAATAACTCCATAAACGTATTACAGTGTGTCGATTGAATTATATATATCAACTTAGGCCCTAATGGACTTTTAATTGAATTTTACATTCTTATAATGCCACAGAGCAACAAAAAACCATCCAGAGCTCCTTCGACATTAGGTCAATACATCCTCTTTAATCTCATTATTATCTAAAGTTGTATTTATTGTAAAATTGGTGTTGTGGGAAGCACAGTTTGTGGAATATAATAATTTATGTATATAATAGGTATAAAGAACATGGAACATTTTCCCTTTTCCTGCATCCTAAGGTAGTCATCCTTTTCTTATTAATATAAAAAATAGGCACTTAGGCCAGTTGGAGTTTTTTTATTTTCTCAACGTTTCGACAAAAATCTTTTGTCTTCGTCAGGAGAAGTAAATAAAATAAAGCATTTGGCAAGGTGTTAAAAATTGTTCTGAGGTTTGCAAGGGCGTTTTCACGTGATTTTTCGAATTTAGTACAACATCTAAAGCGCGAGTCAAAAACAAATATAAAACAAATATTTTCTTATAACAAATTTGTATACATAGATAAAGGAGAAAAGAATTTTGTATCATAATAATTTATTTTGCTAACAAAAGTTCTAATTATATTAATATGTATCTGTATATAAATATTATCTTTCAGTTTCCTGGAAAGTAGCCTGTCGAAGGACGTCAAAGTACGAAAACTTGCCGAATTTACAGCTTTAAGAAACTCGTCGATGTTAACTTTTGTTCCTTCTTCAAGATGATATCAGTCGATTCTTTCTCTTGTAATTACGTCAATGTACTTGGATTTATTAGTAAATTAAATTCAATTGCCATCTATCGTTAAAATTGGCAAAAATTAATGATATAATTTACTAATATATATTTGTTATGAAAACATATTTTGCGGAAGAGCTTTGCTCGATGTAATACCTTGAAATTATTTTTTTTTTTTTTTTTGCTTATCCCTAGTACACGTGGTACAGGCCATGATAATCATGGTGGGTAGTTAGCGACTGCTTTTTTTTTTTTTTACTGTAAGCGCACCACATGTCTACACATGTGAAAAGCAGTTCGACTTTGCACTTACAAATGCCAGAGCCCCGTTTGGTTACTTGCACTCGTTGGTGGGGGTTGGACTTTTGCAAGAATCGGGGGCCATTGGAGCATTTTTTTTTAACAGAAAAAGTGTCCAATGCGGGAATCGAACCCGGGTCCTAGTGGTCGAAAACCAAACGGTTTAACCAGCCTTCCACCGAAATTGAAATTATATATGTATGTACCTCTACAGACCTATACGCTTATGTCCATAGTTCACTAAACACTCCTAAGCTGCCTTCCATAGAAAATACAGGGTATATCCCAAACCAGTCCAATACAATAGTAGAGCGGTCTAGAGATTAATTTGGCGAAACCGCTGAGAGGGTTCACTACTGATGAGACAAGTCCTCTCATTTAATAACTTATATCATTGCAGTAAGGTCTGTAGAGATAATATTTGATGATATTTGAAAGAAACGCATTGCCAGTAAAAAAAAAAAAAACTTGGATTTATGCAATTCAGAGTCGGTATATGGACTTTCATCGAATTATCTTATAGGATACAGAAAAAGAATATTGGTAGAGGAAAGTAAGCCAAATTTTTACACCTTGAAGATGTAATGAGAGCAAGTTTGCTAACCATTTTTTATTTCTGTTAACCTGTGGTAGATGTTTTGAAGAAATAGCCTTAGCCTTTTTTAATCAAATTAATTATTTTTTATTTAAATACAAACTGACAAATTAAAATGGTGGCTAATATTTACATCTACCAAACGAACTAATTATCTATACATAGAACTTCTATATTTTCAGGTCACAGAGTTATATCAAAAAGAAATACAAATTATTATTCATTTTAAAATAAAACATCGTGAAGTATTATTATTTTGCATATTCATTATTTAAATAAAATATAGTTTTTAAACACTTTTAAAATACTAAAGTCAAAATGAAGAGCACGACTACAAACCCATGTTCTTGGAGAGTGAAGAGAGATTGAAACCTCTTTATTACATCGTTCACATAAGGACATATAAGGTTAAATGTAAATAAATAATATTATTAAAAATAAAGAAGACATCTCCTGACCACGAGCACATGTGCTTTTTAGATGGCAGAGCGCCATCTAGTGGAGCAAAAATAAACTAAACGTTTATTTAACTTTCTCCGTGATATTTGGCCAACCCAATTTCTTGATAAATCAAGAAAAGCCATCCACGAACGCGTTTCGCGCTATTGGCGCTCGTCAGCGTGGAGTAAGCTGTAACCACTGCGACCAAAAATCTGTTTATTATATATAAATTTAAAAAATAATATTATATATATATGATATTATATATAAATATATAATTGATAAAATATAAATACGAGTATATATGTGAAAAAAAATAAATAATAAAAAGGTCAGGTTTTGATATAAAAAAATAAAACATTAGAATTTAAAAAGTACATGTGTGCTTCTGGTTAGGATATGCCTTTTTAAATTTTAATAAATATAAAAATATATATACAAAGTCTTCATTGGTGGCGTCCACCGCGGGAAAGACTCAGCCACCGATGGACTGCGAGAGTTCTTTGCCACAGAGTGGGCAGGTCGATGTGTTGACTGGTGTTACCCACCTCAAGACCAAGATGGTACTTGTAGATGGTAACCATACTTGTCAGTTTCGGCTCAGAAGAAGACATGTAAGTACAGTCCTAGAACGGAGATTGTCTTTCAAAGCGATGACATCTTTTCTGATATCTTAACCGGATTGTCTTTAACAAACCCTTGGGATCTTTTTATAGCCGGGGTGTTCACTACTGGGGTTAAAGGTTAGACTTTTGAATGTTCTCTCTATGTCAAGTGATATGGATTCATTGCTGTCATGCCTAGTTCTGGGGCGTCAACCTCCTTTAACATCATTGGTTCTATACAAGTTACATATAATAGGGATTTCTTGTAATTTTATACATTGTGTTATATGAAAAAACAATAGAAAAAATATTAGATAAGCGGGTCAGGTGTTGATATTAAAAACAAAGAAGGTATCTCCTGACCACGAGCACATGTGCTTTTTAGATGGCAGAGCGCCATCTAGTGGAGCAAAAATAAACTAAACGTTTATTTAGCTTGCTCCCTGATATTTGGCCAATTTCTTGATAAATCAAGAAAAGCCATCCACGAACACGTTATATATCTTAAAGATAGAGGCTGCCTGGCCGCCATTCATAGTTTTTAAAATTAAATATACTTCAGCCAGTATATTTTTGTTATCTTGACGTTTTGACAAAAATCTTCTGTTTTCGTAAGGAACGAACAAAGAGTAAAACATTTGGCAAGGCGTTAAGAATTATTCCTTAAAAATACACATTGTATTATATATACATTAAGGTTATAAAGAGTAAAAATAGAAGAAGAATATATATATAAAATGAGTAAAAGGAAATTTATGTTTTTCCTTAAATAGGAGATGAAAAAAACCATATTTAAAAAGACGTAACTCACTATAAATGATAAACAATAATGATAATTGGTAGGTTCTGAACTTAAATTGGTTCTTAAGTCTTTTTTTTTGCTTATCCCTAGTATACGTGGTACAGGTCATGATAATCATGGTGGGTAGTTAGCGACTGCTTTTACTGTAAGCGCACCACATATCTACACATGTGAAAAGCAGTTCGACTTTGCACTTACTAATGTGCCAGAGCCCCGTTTGGTTACTTGCACTCGCTGGTGGGGTTGGACTTTAGCAAGAATCGGGGGCCATTGGAGCATAATTCTTATGAATTATCATAATAAAACAGCGGATGTTTTATTGTGTATATGCACAAATATATATTTTGGAATAGAATATTTAAATTAATATTTAAGAAGGTTTGGTATAAACCTTACAATTTGTTATTCTAAGGTTTTTTTTTTTTTTAAGAATTATGCTTCTATTCCCCTATACATATAATCTCAACTTTCTGAAAGCATCTTCCTCATTAAAGATAAAAAATACGTTGCTTACATATAATTCCTGTAAATTCACAAATAGGTTCCATATCTTGGAAGCTCCAGGTTTATTTAATATAAATATATATACATTTATTCAAAAGTTTAAAAATTCATTTCAAAAAAATATAATTTATATGTATATGTATATAAATGTGGAAGCGTGAAAATAGAGAAAGAAAAATGCAAACAAATTCTTATTTATGTGGAGCCATTTCTATCCATATCAAACCAGCTGGAAAAGTGCGATATTAAACTCCTTCCTTTTTCTCATCTCCTCCCTCACTATTTGGTTTGCAAATATCAGAACCGCGTTGAATTCTTTATTGCTAATTAAAACATCGCTTTTCTGAATTTTTAACACCTTTGTGTTGTTTCTACCAGTGCATTCTATCTGTGAGTGTAAAACTATTCCACTATACAAATTAAAACATCGCTTTTCCGCTTTTTTTTAACCCTTTTACGTTGTCAATACCAGCTCATTTTATCTCTGTGTGTGTAAAATTCTTCCACTATACAAATTAAAACATCGCTTTTCCGCATTTTTAACACCTTTGGGTTGTTACTACATCGCAATCTCTTTCTCCGTGTATATCTATCCCACACAACTCCGCCTTTGCCGGTTCCAAGCCCGGATGAAAAAGGAGGAGGGGGAGCAGTAACAAGCTCGCTAAAAAACCTGGGCTCAGCTGGCCCGGCTGATAGTACCCTGTAAGGGCTCCTAATCCAGGTATACAGGATGAGCAGCGTTTGTACTCCATGTTAGGAGCGGCTGCACATGGTGTCTGTTCCTCAGGTCAGCGGCGGCCATTTCTTTTGGAGCTAAGTCAGCCTGCCACTGAGTAGTGCTCCCAGTCTTAATGACAAAGGCAGACGCATTCTACTTCACCCAGTCATGATAGTTGTCAAGTCTCAAGCTCTACAAGCTTGATATCTTAATATGATTGAGTGGAAATAAGAAAGAAGAAGAGATCTATCTCACATTATGCAAATTAAAGTTAATCATATAAATGTTATAACACTATGCGGCGCTGAGTTTTTTTATAGAAAATGTAATGCCTTGATAAAGGTTTGACGTTCAGCCACCCGAAATAATGGCAAATAAATCTTTTATTCAATACATGCCTTTTTATTATGTTTTAAATGTATATACTATCTTTCAATCACAAATTATACAACAGGTTTCTAGTAATGAGTTTCCTTTTGTTTTTATTAATGCTATCTCACACACACAAGATTTCGGGCATCTCTGCTTATCTACAGGAGTATGCAAGACAGGTATTAATAAACGCCTTTAGATTCCAATTAATTCACTTTCAAATCTCCATTTTACAAATATATGTTATAAATAAAGATTAATGAGATTTCTGTTGTATTTTGGAATTATATTGATACATTGATTATCATTATCTGTTGCTTGATTTTTGTATACATGAGTATTTTACGATATTGTTCTGCAGTCGTGGGAATAATAGAATAGTTTTGAATCAGAGATTTCTTTATTTGAGCTAAGGAATACTAGTATATATGAAAAACATAATTTGATAAAAGTTCTGCCTGGCTTAAGGCGAATAGAACAAGGAAAACAAAAGATTATTTACATAATGTACAAAGATTTGAGCCGGCCATTGGGATAAAACAACAACGAGTTTTTATAGGGGAAGAGTGACCTCTGGCGGTCGATTTAGCAGAGTATTTGAATCTATGAAATATAATTTAAAATAAAATAATATTTTTCTATAACATATATATAACTAATAACTTCACCAAAATGTTTAAGGAACCTCCTGGTTTATAATATACTTAGTATCCACTTTACTGTTAAGTTATCAACACTAAGTTGGTTTCTACTCCATTTTTAAAGTTTAATTTGAATGTTTTCAGTTATGTTTTATAGCGTTTTATTAGGTTTTGCTAACCCAAAGTTAAATTAACATTATCTAAACTAAGGCTTAAATCGTTTTACTACTGCCAGCAAACAGCAATGTTGGGGGAAATGTTTCACTAACCTTAGTGAAGACATTTTCAAATCATTTCGAATTTGAAAGGTGGGAGATACTTGTATGCTCCGTTTTAAAAACTTGCATTCATCAATTCTTGACAAAATTCACTTAAAGATATAACAAGCCGACATTAATTTTAATGTAGCTTACTGTTATGATATATTTTTGTAAAGTGAAGAGATTTGAAGGTGCAGTCATGTTAAAATAAAAACAGAAAATTGATTAATTACATCAATTAGGTTTAAT